AGTGCACACACCAACCGCCCCAGAGAGCAGACAGCGGGCGACCCCAGAGTACTCACGACCCCGTGGGTAGTGGAAAGCCAACACAGTCCGACTCCCAGTCTCCAGATCTGTCTTCTGTGAAAAGGCAGCAGCAGGTCTGTCTCCCAGCAATCAACCGAATAAAAGGATTCCACAGCCAGCCGCCGCTGTGTAAACCGCAAGTGACGTCACGGAAAGGGCAAGGAAGCCCTCAACCAAGATGGCGGCCTCGGCCTCCGCTAGGCCGCAAATGAAGCCTCGGACTAAATTTTCGGCCACCCGAGCACATGTGCCGAAAAAGCAGGAGACATGTGGCAGCGGCGCTCCCTGCCATCAGTGCAGCCCACCGGCCCCCCTGGACCGCTACCAATTCCTAGGTAAGCCCTTGCAGCAGCAAGGCCGTCTGAAGAACAGGAGGGAGGAGGGAAAGAGGAGAAGCTAGGCCCCTGCAGAGGATACCAGACAGGACAAGGGGGGCTGCAGCAGCAGATACCCCCACACTATACCAGTAGGCTAGCCACACAGGATCTCCGCACACAAGGTCCTCACTACCCCAGCCCGACCCCACATACATACCACACCATGGGGTCAAAACGAAGTCCCTGCCACTGACCCTCTTCCGGGTACCATCCTGGGGAGGCCACCCCACGGATATCCAGGCAGCCAAAGCACCGATGATGCAGGGACGGCGTAAAACCGCCCCCGACTGTAGTCGCGGCGCCGCCAGCCGGTATTGAATGCTGTGACTGGTGGGCCGAGACCCCCAGTCATATGCACCCCACCGGGACAAACCCACAGGCCACTCTGCCTAAAAAGGCAGAGTTGTCGCAGCCGACCCACCGAGGCAGAGTCTGCATGCGGTCGACGTCGCACAGGGGAGACTCCAAGGATCCACAACATCCAACCTGTCACCCTGACGACACTTGCTAGAAGGTCCAGTGAAAAAAGGAGGAATCTGGGAAGAATTCAAAGAAGAAAAAATTCGGAGCTCCTTACTCCTGACGCTAGGCAAAAAACTGGAGACTTGTCAGCAGGTGGGGGTTGGGCCACCAGCAGGGGCCGCTAGGCTGTCTTTTTGTTATGTGCCTAGCGTCCCGTCGTTCTCCTGCAAGTGGCGATATACCCTACCATACAGGATCTACGATCTGTTGCCCTGTGTCCTTCAATGAACGGGAGAGAAAATGCCAGCGATACTGTCCTATGGTTTGCAGTGTCCCTGGAGCAGTTTTAAAGGCTATCTGGAGCAAGAGCAATCACAGTAGATGAGAAATCCAGGTGCAAAGCCCAACTCTGGTGCTGTACAGCAGTGTTCTACGTTGACCGGTCCGCGGCGATAAAAAGGTTGGGGAGCACTGCTGTACAGTACCCCAGGTAAAAGCCCCACCCATATCCTGTAAGTGTGTAACAGAAAATGTTGGCATCAGGATATTGCACATAGAAAACATATGCTTTCCATGTGCACTTTTCAAACCATACATGTGTGGTGGTGAACAAAAAAAAATGCAAAAATGGGGGGTTGTGACTTTAATGTCACTTTAAGAGCCATGCATGATATACATGTAATATATAACTGGGTGCTAGAGTCTGCTTATTATTTGAAGTTTCTAAACACATTTAAAAGTACCGTTGTAGGCTGCTTCTCGAGAGCCGATTATCACACATTTCACTTTCAGTCTTACAATTTACGATACACTAATCATGTTAACGGTACTTATTAGTGCAGCGGGTTGTTAATTGCTTAATTGATACATCATTTCAAATAGATAACCATATTAAAAAATGTTTCCCTCTGCAGTTTTTGGGAGAAAACACTACAAAGTGCTTTGTGCACCTGCTGCATTTTCTTGCCAGTTGGAATCAGCCCAGATATTTAAATTTATACCTTGGAAACTGGTTCACAGAACTCAATTATGCTGATGTTTATCTAATAATGTTTTGTATTAAATTATTCACTTCTAACACCACATAAAGCATTGACAAATTCAAATTGTAGACAAAATATCACACGGTTTTTCGGTCATCTGCTATGCAAATTGCAATTGATGGAATCTTTTTTTTTTTTTAAAGGTAAAGATAATATGTTTATTGCTCTCAAAAAATATTTTTTTCCTAAATAATGCTACACTGCATGTAAATTGTTTTATATATATTTCATTATGCTCAAGACTAAAATGACATTCTTTATGTTTCTTTCCAGTAAGGTAAATAATAAATATGAATAATTAATATTTAGTACTTGCCGCCAGCAGGTGGCACTTGAGGTTATTTGTTACCATTGCTGCACAGTAAATTCCTGCTAATCTGTGTAATTTATCTCCTAAGCTACTGATGTCTATTCATAACACATACAGCTAAACTGAGAAGGGGTTCTTTCAAAATTCAAATCGTTACCTCTTCACTTTTTGGTGGTGCCCACTCTGGAGGATCATTTAAGATATAGAGTAAAGCCCCGTTCACATGTAGCGACTTATCGCGTGATTTCCGCCGCGATATCGCGCATTTTTGCCACGCGATATCGCGAGTAGTCGCCGGCTAATGATAGTCAATGGAGCTGTCTTAGCTCCATGTCGCTCGTCGCGGTCGCAAGTACCGGACCCTTTTTCCGGTGGATTTTGCGCGATTTTACTTTTTTTCTATGGAGCCCGACGGAGAAGGTCGTGCTACCGTCGCTGGAACGTCGCCCCGAAAGTCGCACTATCCCGGCCGCTGCAAAGGTATGTCGCTACAGGTGAATGGGGCCTTAAAGTTATAACAGTTATAACTCACACTTCTGCGCTTAAATACATGCATTGTTACTGTGTGTGCTGATCGTTTCAAGCATTTTGTTTCATTATTTGTCTTCTAAATCAATTATTGTTTTCGTCTGATAAGAGGACTATATATGCTCATACAAAGGGATGGTTGATAGCAACAATGAATTATTGTGCTTGCTGTATTTCCAGATATATAAGCCACCTTTTATGCAGCAGTAACGGTGCTCAGTTAGTAGGAAGAGTGCTTAGCTGTGACCTTGCCGTCAGTGAAAACGATACAGGTCACTGCACTGGAAGTTCACTGCTAGTCTCCTAGAATAATACCTACATGTAGATGTGATCTCATGTCACATACTGTAGCCCAGCAGAGCTCTTTGAGTCCACTGAGCCACCAATGCTTTTGAACAGGCATAGAGTCTTACTTGCAGGCAATCTTCTTCTCCCGCAACCTATGAGACACATTTAGACCTATATCATGCAAAGTACCGTATTTTGCGCTCCATAAGGCGCACCGGACCATAGGACGCAGGCAGGTTCTGTGACAGAAACAGGTTACAGAAGCTGCAGTTAGTGATCGCTGAGACAGGTGGCGCAGTGACTATAGCGCCACGGTCTCAGTGTTCACACAGAGCAGATGAAGAACGGACGTTCTTCGTCTGCTCTAGGGGCTCTATGGTGAGCTCCTATCCCGTGGTCACAGGTCCCCCAGAGGAGCGGGGGACCCGAAAACCACGGCGGGGGGGCGGACTCGATCGCCGCCGCCGTTCGGTTTTAATACAAGTCATCTGAACAGATGACTTGTATTAAACGAGCAGCGGCTCCCACTGTACATTTAGCTCTGCTTTAGCAGAGCTAAATGTATAGAAAACTCGCCCGGCGCCTGAAACTGCATGTTTTGGGCATCAGGCAATAGGTATTCGCTCCATAAGACGCTCCATAAGACGCACACACATTTCCCCCCGACTTTGGGGGGGGGGGGGGGTGGGTGGGATTGTT